GCATAGGTGTTTGTGCTGATATTCAACTGAACTGAGGTCATTTATTCAAAGGGCTCTTTGAAAGTCTTCAAGGTTTAGGGTGTGAACATTTGGGACCAACCTGAATGGACAGCATGCGTTTGAAATCTGGGTTTGTGTAGCTTTAAAATACAATTTATACAATCAAACCAAGCCAAGGAAACTCACTTGTAAACAAAACAATGTTAGTATTAAAGCTATTCTTGCTTCTGCTGTTGTTGGTCCTTAAACCAGCCGTGGAGAAGAGCAAAGCTATGACACACACTGAGGAGAAACTGAGCTTTAAAAACAATCAAAGTTTTCACTGCAGCCGCTTCCTGTGTTTTTACCTTTTTTTCACATTTCTCCCACTTCCAGCGTCTCCCAAACACCACCATCACTCCCTTCCCCGTATGCTGTGGCTCTGTACAGGGGCCCATGTGCCACAAACAACCACTCTGGGACACTCTGGTTCTTTTTTGTTGTTGTCAGCCTGAGCCACAGAGAAGGCCTAAGTCATGATATGAAATGGATTTCTTCTTAATGAAATGAAAGCTAATGTTTAAAAACAGTACAAGTGTCCACTAACTGTTTTTGACTTTGAGTTGAGGCCTCCTTGCCTCCTGCTCTGTCCCACATTTGTCATCTGCATTTATGAAGTGAGAAACAAAGGAAATTGTTACCTTTGACAACTTACTTAGCTCAGGTGGTAGAGCGGGTGACCTACTTACTGGAAGGTTGGTGGTTCGATCCCATTCTGCTCTAGTCTGCGTGCCAAATATCCTTGGGCAAGGGTCCATGTTGCCCACCGATGCATCCATCAGAGTATGAATGTGAGTGAATGTTAGATAGAAGCATGAAAAACCTTAGATAAAGTGCTTGTATGATTGGGTGAATGCACGAGTTGTATAAAGTGCTTTGACTGCTCAGTGAGAGTAGAAAAGCGCTATATACGGTAAGAATCAGTCCATTTACCATGATGAAGCAATGTGATGACAAAGTTCAGTGAAACCTCATGTTGACACCTGGCATAAACCTAAATCTTGTTGCAGTCCACATGGACCATTTCGTACAAAGACCTACTCTGCAGAAGAATGTTTTATGCTGGTTTTTTGCAGAGTTTTATTTTATGATTAAAAGGTCTTAGAGGATGTAATCTTTAAAAAACATTCAAGTCGTAGTTTAACTGTACAAACCTCTCAGATTTCAACTTGAGTGCTTCCAGGACTTTTGGGTCAGTGCTGCACCATAGTGACTCGTACTATATTAGATAGTTTATATTAGGTTGGTTTTCCTGTTGTACCTGATGTGGCTGGATGACAGGAAATGACTTGACAATAACAAGTATGTCCTTTTACAAGTATCCTTGGCATACATGAGAAGCTTATGAGGAGTTGAGACAGAATTCATTTCCAGCCTTCCTGCATGGAGGCCAGGGGAATCAGGAAAATACGTGATCAACAAGCACTCTCTACACACGACACTGAAGACTAAACCCAGCAGTTGTGTTTGTATTAGCACTTTGATCTTATTCCCACTCTCACTGTGCAGTTCCTGCGAGTTGTCCAACTGAATCCCACGTAAAAGACAGTCCTAGGGAGGGTCAGAGACCTCTTTGTGTCTGTGTCAGCCTCTGATTTCTGGGTCAATATAGACTTCAAATGAGGCACTCTTAAGTTGGTTTTTTTGATAAATATGGTTTTATGCTTTTGATAACATAACAGGATATTAGTGGTGTAGTGCTGTTTTGTTATCTAAGTTTACTGTGGCTTCCCAACTTGTGCAGATTTGGGTTCTTTCACATATTGTCAAATTCCCAGGTGCAGTGTTTTGGTTGGCTTTATGTTTTTTTCACAACCTCACCAGTTGCAGTCCGGAGATGGGTCATTTCTTTCCCTCTACAAGTTTGGCTTACAGTTTTCCATGTACATGTTGCCTGGAAGGAGGCGCTGCTCTAAAGACAGTGTCAGTGCAGCATAAAAAAGATCGCCCAAAAAGACTGTAAAATGAGTGAATGTAACCCTGATCTTTAAGATATGCAATGATTCATCACTACAAGTCCAAAAGTAACACTGTGAGAAATCATGAAGTTGTTTTTGACCAGAACATATCATTCAAAGTGCAAATTAAACAAATATGTTTAATATTTGTGCATATATGCATTTGTGCAACATCTCTAAAATTAGAAAAATCCTGTCTCAGAGTGACGCTGAAAAACTAGTTCATGCGTTTCTTACTTCTAGGCTGGACGACTGTAATTCACTATTATTGGGATGTCCTAACAACTCTCTAAAAATCCTTCAGTTGATCCAAACTGCTGCAGCAAGAGTCCTGACAGGGACTAGAAAGAGACGGAAGATTTCTTCCATATTGTCTTGTCTTCATTGGCTACCTGTTAAATCCAGAATCGAATATGAAATCCTGCTCCTCTTGAATAATCAGGCCCCATCTTCTCTTAAAGACCACATAGGATCGTATCCCTCCAATAGAGCCGTTCAGGCTCATCTTCTGTGCAACCAGCTCCCAGTTTGGATTCGCGAGACAGACACCTCCTCCACCAAGTTAGCGCTCCACCTGAACTGTGGACAACCTTATTCCAAAGTGGGTTGAATTCATTTTTCTCCATGAACACCCAGAACACCCCATAATGACAAAGTGAAAGAAATTAGCTTCAAATTCATCAAAATTTATCAAAAAAATACATGTACATAAGTATTCACAGCCTTTACACAATAATATGTTGAAGCATCTTTGGCAGCAGTTACAGTCTTACGTCTTTTTGAGGATGACACTACAAGCACAGCTTGGTGTATTTTTACTCCCATTCCTCTTTACAGAACTTGAAGCTCCGTCAGATTGGATGGGAGCATCACAACCACGTGCTTCGCCCCAATCCAAGGTCCTGAGGAGGTTATCATCAAAGAGGTCTTAGGTCATTGCTGCATTCATCATTCCTGTACTTCAAATATAATCCACTTTCAATGTATGAGAATAAAATAAAGCAGGATACTTTCTCCTTGCTTCCTGCAGTAAAGCCACTTGGCTAATGGCAGTGCTAGTAGCAGCTTCTAAGAAATATTCTCCATTCCAGTGAGAGAAAATCCCAATGAGCCACTCATCATCAGCCCACCCTGACACATTAACCACAGTGATGGATGGAAACACATCATCTGGTAACACATATATGCTAAAATTAGCCATCAGCCTGCATGAAACACATTATTTCAAAGTGCTGCGGCGGGTTGAGAGATGTCCCCACCTTCATAACCTGTTGCTGTGGCCCTGCTGGAGGAAAAGATTTCACCAGTCCAGCCAAAACGAATACATAACAAGTGCATGTAAACATAAAAGAGGTTGTTGGCAATTTCAAATTTTAGTTAACACAAGCAATATACAACCGAAAGTGAGCATATTTTCTGCCAAGGTGTGACATGGTGAGGCGACTTCCCTGGATTCATCCGCCAGTGTTTTAACACATTATGGTCTCAACACGTGCATTAATTTCAGTTGAGTCACAGTTTGGTAACGATTAAGAACCAAAAGATACTCGTTTAGGTTTCAGATCACGTTTTGGGTTTAAATGCCACTTTCTCAAAAGACCCCATCTGGCAGAAAGCCATGAAGGCTAACTTCTCTCCCATATGCAGTTATTTGTTTTTTATGACAACTCTTATAAAGAATAGTAAAAAAAAAAGTTCCCTTTAACTATAAATGTTGCAGTGATGCTTTTTTCCTTCCTTTTTGCAGACAAATGCCGAGGATCAGTAGGAGCTTGGCCTGTTTTAAAGACAGTTACCTGGTGAGTGGCTACGTAAGAAAAATCCAACAAAAAGTGGAAAAAGTTCGCTGATCCTCGCAGGTCTGAGACGATCAGGTGATTTTTGTACCATCATACTACGAAAATTTAGTTACAGGCCCTCTGAGGGCATCAGGGTGGATAAATGTTGCTTTTATTCACTTTATTATCACAATCATCTTTGAGACCCAGATTCATTTTCCAGGGCCAAAAAATGCATCTAAGATCTGTTAAAAACTGCAGCCTTGTCAAGTGTCATATTCTAAAGCTAAAAAAAAATAAATCACATACTGGCACCTATTTGAGTATGAAGGTAAAATTATTACTTCATTAATTACCAAATATGGTGTACTTAAAAACACTGTATGTATGTAAATAAAGGTATTTTCGGCATTAATTGATACAAAGTAACTATGAGTTGGTGAATAAAAACTGACCTGGAGTAAATTGCCTGATGCTTAACATTTCATGGGAAAGCAAGGCTGAGAAATGCTTTTTCTGAGGACTTGCAACATAAAAGCTAGGTTCAGTTTATTAGTCCCACATGTTTTTATGCTGGGACAAATCAGAATGTTAGCCTTGAAAAAATACCAAGTCACTAACTGTACTTAAAACCATGAGCCAATGAAAATTTGACAGCTATATCCCATTGGAAAGGACTACTCAGAAGTCATTTATATATGTTTATGTTTGTGTGTGTATATATATATTTTTTTTTTCTTTCCATATTTTTATAGAATTTAAAGGTACTAGATTTAAATGTAAGTTGCTGGGCCACTGAAAACACTGCACAGGGTAACATTAACCCCCCTAACAGACTAAATGTATTAAAGGCTCACTTCATGCCAACTAAAACTAGGAAAAAGGAAAAGTAGGAAATTTTGGCTTTTCTCACATTTGAATTGAATTCACTAATTACAGAAACCTTTCATCTGACGCCGAGCGTACATTTTCCTACAGGTTGCTCGTCAGCTTGATGGCGCTTACTCAGCAGCAGTGTAGCTTTCCTTTGGTCTAGAGCTCCCTCTCCTGGTCATTGGCAGACATGCCACTAAAGAGGCAATCATGCTTTGTGCTTTAACTTATAACCAATCAATAGTTTTTATATGTAAATAAAAGGATGATGTTCACTTCAGTGAATGTTCCTGAAATAGCCAGGACTGAACTTACACAGTTACAGTAAAACACATAACACTGAACCAGGAGAGTCAATAAAGGCCACGTGTCTCTGATCATTTATTTTTTGAAATTAATATCAGCTTAACAAAAGTACGTAAAAGTTCAGTTTTTAAAACTGTGATTAAAAACTTAGCGAGTACAGTCTGAAATCATTTATTCCTGCATGTGAATCTGCTACACTGCATGTTAAAATCTGGGCCTGAACTGATTGCATCATCAACTGTTATTAAACAAGTACAGAAAGGCATTTCATTAGATTCCTCTAATTACAGGCTTTCAAGGCTGAAGCTTTGCTTTGTCTGCAGCAGCCGATCAATGAGCAGGATCACACGGAGCTGCAGAGCTAGACTGACCATCCTCTGTTCAGTCAGTTCATCTCTTTCACCTTCACGGCTCTACCGTGGAGACACAGCTGGTACACCTTGCAGTGTTTGTAGCTTTGGAAATTAAAAGACGCAGACTAATAGTGCTCTGGTTCCATGTCAGTTCATCCAGTCCAGATCATCATCATCCTCGTCATCACCAAACAGGGGAGCAGGTGGTGGACGCCCCTTTAGGCTCTGGACACAAAGCAGAGGCAAAAAGAAGAAGAAGAAAATCACAAATAGTGTCCAAGTGCTAAAACATCTCCGACACAACACACAGGGGAAGGGCTGGGTTTAGTGGGATGAGGTAAAAGCGCTCAATCAAATCTGAGAGCTTTGCCTGAACTCTACAGATCCTTCCTTACCATCTCCTCTTCCTCTTCCTCCTCGCTGGGTGCTGCGGGGGGATTGGCAGGAGTTGTGTTCTGGAAAAATGGCTCCTCTCCATTTTCCTCATCAATTCTCCCAGTCAGACTGAGAGAATAGCAGAAAGAGGTGGGGCGAGGCAATAAAGCCAGCAGGATAGCGTTTATGCAAGCGGTTAGTTAGCAGGAGGGTATGTCAGTAGTAATGTAGACATAAATATGTTGCAAGTTACAAGTCTTTTCTTAACACTCTCTATGCGCTTAAGGTTACATTATTCATTGGCTCCACTGGTAAACTTTTCAGTATTACTGACAGCTGTTTGCCACGACAAGAAAGAATACTTGAAACGTGATGCGTTCAAGGACGCATTTATAAGCACGAATTATAAGTCCTCACATGACGAAGTACATGAGCCCCAATTAAAGCAACCATGTAACAGACCAATGTTCACTCTGTCCTGTGTGTATAATTTTATACTGAAACATTGTTGTGATTGGCTGGAATAACATTAACCATAAAGTGTATATGAAAAGTGGACGCAGCTTCCCAGTCTATAGGGAGGCCAATGAGGCTTTTTGTTTTTTGACCAGCAGAGCCACAAAATCAAACTCGTAACTTTACCACCAGCCGTTATGACCTGTGCTCACCCTGTGTTCTCTCCCGAGGTGTCCTGAAGTTCGCTCGGTGGTGGAGGCGGGTTGGATGGGGGTCCAAAGGCTTTATGAGAAGCAGCATTTTTTTCTCCTACATCCTCTCCATCATCTTCCACGCTGTCCACGCATGCCTCACTGGTCACTGCAGCGTTCATTTCTGACACAGCATCTTGCCCATCGTCAGGTGAACGCTCATCTGGATCCAAAGACTTGCTGGTGTCTTTATCTTCTGCAGAGCTTTCAGGAGCAGGTTGCTGCCCCTCCTCCTCCTGTACCTCGCACTCTGCTCCTGGTGCTGCCGTTATTGTCAGCTCTTCTGATTCGAGTTCAGTCGTTGAAACTGGATGGATATCTGTGCTTTGTGAATGTTCTGCCTGAGTTGTTGTGTTTGACTCACACACCGTCTCCTCAGCTGCTTCTTCCTGATCCTCACGAGTCTCCCTGACTTGATGAGAATCTGAATCAGCCACATGTTCCTCCTCCTCCTCTTCCTTTCTGACCTCTGTCTCTCCATTTATGTGCACATTCTGGTGAGGTTCTTCTTCCTGTTTCACATTTTCAACCTCTTCTTTCTCCTCTTCCTCCGCTGTTTCCTCCTCTTTTGTAATTGGTCTTGTTGCAGCCCCGCCTTTGGCACTAAGGAGCTGCAGAGTTACATTCTAGAAGAAAAGAAAACCACATTAATGGCTGGTTCTAGAATTCTGTGATTCAAAACCAAATGCCAGTCAAACACTTCCATTATCATGAGATGAGTGCTGTGATTGTACAATATGGATAAATGAACAATGCCTTTCCACCTGTGGTGATGTAAGACAAAAGATGTGTCGATTAGTCCAAACATTTAAGAACTCTGAATTTGTGCACAAAGGCTGCATATAAAAAAGAAAGGTGCGGTCTGTGGCTCTGCTGCAGTGGAGGGGTGGTACAGTAAGCTCACAGGGGGCGGTGCCAGGAGGTCTGAGGGGACAGGTGAAAGGAACTGGAACTAATGAACTCTTGGCGTGTGTGGTGTGGCAAGGAGCTGCAAAGCTGGCTTCCTGGTTGAACATAAGGTGCCGAAGCAGTGGAAGTGTTTTAGAATAAAGGCGCTACGACTGACACTCGAATGCTGTGAGGCTCCTGATCGCTTCAAAAGGATTTTACCTTAATGGTAGAGACAATGACCCCCAGCACAGCCTGGCCGGTGTAGGATTCAGTGAGATCGAACTCCCCTCGCAGTGAGTGGAACACTCCGTTCATCACACGCTTCACCTACAAGAACACAAATGGTGAGTTATGTCCCAGCATGCACTGGCCTTCGACTTCACACAGCATCACACTAATGCGCGTACCAATAAGCAAACTTTTACTTCAGCTTATTGATAAGCGCTTTGAGTGCTCAGAGTAGAAAAGCGCTATATAAGAACCAGTCCATTTACCAGCTGTGATCCATGATGCATACCCACACTAGGAAACCCACTGATTATGAGTGAGAACACGTGTTTGGTATTTTTAGGACTAAATCATAGAAGAAGAAACTCTACGTCCCAAAATCAGACCTACTGTTGATGTACTACAAAGGCTATGATGGTGATCGGTCATGCTGTCTCAGTTTAAAGGAGCGTGAACATAATCCTGTATTTCATGCTCCTCACTCGATTTTTCTATATTATTCATTATATTCACTCATTACATTTCATCTAATGATGTTTGATTTTACAGGAGCTGCAGAGCCATCACTCCTCTGACCTAAGCTTTAAGCAACCATGACTATGGTGCAAATCAGCACTTTGACTTCCTGTTGAACCTGATGTCTCAGATATGTCTGAAGGTTCTCAGTCATCTAGGTCATGGATGAAAAGAGACTTAAAAAGAAGAAACTTCAGGAATGTTTTTCTGTCTCAGCTCCTTGGACTGATTTCTCAGAGAAACCTGTTGTCCTAACTGTTGGCTTCTCATAAAAAGATGGAGATATTCGTACCGTTCTACATAGAAAACAAAATGAGAAAATGAATTTACTGAAGCATTATTTACGATACAAACCCTCTGTGAAAAACTGTGCTCTCAAGATATTAAACATTATACAAAGTGTCTCTTCAAACAATACATCAGTCATTTAAATCAAATTAGGTTAATATTAGGCCTCTGGAAATATATAAGAGATTTTGTTAAATATAAATGTCAACTTCATGCCAGGAAGATTTTAATAATTTTATTTTGCCAGGACAGATTTCACCTGCTCAGCAGCTTAAAGCTTTTCATAATGGCCAAAATGTTTCTATATAAGCACATCATCTTCGTCTTTGCTGTGTGATGCCGTGTTCTCCACAGCAGAATCGTGTACGTTTTCAATGCAGTCCTGTGTCAGGATCTGAACATCTTCAATGTTCGATACAGGTTTTACGTACAGACACTGCTCAAGATTCTCTGATTCTTTTACTGATATTCTGTAACATATATTATAAAACCAGCCAATACTTTACAGCTGTGCATGTAGAAATATTATTTTTAAACTGTTGAACTATGTGCCCACACAGCCTCTCAAAGTCTGGGACGCTTCCCCAACTTTACTTCTAGAAGACTCTGTTCTCTCAGACTGTAGGAAGCTCGTTTCATATGCAATCATGTTCCGAGTAAACCATTTAGTTTATATGGGAATTATTTTTTACCATAACTTTCTGTGTGTTATGACAAATCACTGGATTCTGCTTATATTTACATTTAAATCTCAGCTTTTTTTGTGTTTGTTAAATTGTACATTAAAAAGTTTCCCTTAAAAAAAGTCAAATTCCTGCCAAACATACAGCATTTTCTATAATGTATATGTTACGTGGGTAAAGTTGCTAGATACACTTGAAAGTATCTCTCAACACGTCAATATAATAAATAAGAAATGGTTTTAAAATGGGTTCAACCGATATTTAACATGACGGACTCAACATCAGAATCCAGTACTGGATTGGAAACATCAGGTAGTATTATGGAAAACAAGCTGAAAGCTAAGACTAAAGCGCCTGCACTGGCATCTGGAGACATTAATGAGCTGCTGCTGATCATTTCTGATTTTCATTCTGTGATTTCTATCAGCTAAACAGCTTCTTAAAGTGACAGATGAAGACAAAGGCTGCACTGCACCTTCTATTAATTGTTCTGTTTGAAAGGTTTCATGTACTTCTCACCTCTGCTGCAGTGTCTCCAGAAGCCTCCTGCTCTTCCAGTTTGCTCTCCAGTTCTGCCACTCGTCTTCGCAGCTTCTGTCTTACAGTCGCTCCCTGCTGCTCCAAGGCTGTGTACTTGAAGAGAATAACATGACATAAATATATGTAATGTAAATCACAACAGTATGGTTGTAACCCCTCCCACCCCATGCACGCCTCCATGATGGACCATCGGAGCACACGCAGCAAAAGACTGGAAATGCAGAACTGATCCTTACAACTCCTCCTCACTCTGTAGGTGATTTTCCTGAGGATTAATAACAAAGCTATTCTGTCATTCAGACCGTGCACCAACAGTTTTTCATTGAATGTTTGTTTCATCTCCCCATCATAGCACAATACTATGTCACTTTAGAATCACCTGCACTGATAAGCTTCAGGATTTAGTTATATTGTTACTTGTTACAGTTATTTGATCTTATATTTTGCACTATCCTACTGTATACTTGTATTCTGTTGTACATATTGTATCTTATTCCTCTGCTCCTCTGCCTCTCTCGCTGCACTGAACATGTGTACAAAAGAATTTCCCTCAGGATAAATAAAGTTCTTCTTATCTTATTTTAATCAGTCATAACAGGCATTTAACAGTTACTTCCCAGAGAAACAGAGGAGTCCCCGCCACACTTATTACCATCACTTTTAAGATCAGGATTCTGTGTAGCTCTGCTTTTTGTTCAGGTGAAAATGTCAAGATTTGGCTACAGCTTAGGCACAGTCTCCGTGCTAAAGGGCTAAATATTCCTGGGTAGTGAAGTCGCTGAAAAAATGCATTCCCAGCTAATAATAAATATTTAATCTTGTTAGACAAGATGAGTCAAATGCAGTCATCCATCTTACTTTTTCCTGAAGAGCGTGCAACTCCTCATGATGCTTGTGTTGCTGCAGCAGACTATGTTCTTCTGAGTCTCTCAGCTGCTTCAGAGCTGTAAACTATTGACAGCAAACATGATTCAACAACACACCATGTAACGTGTACGTGTCCCAATATAAACTTTTCTCAACTTTAAACTGAACAATTGAAGAAACTACTGCTGAGTGGCACAGGACACCCCAGTAATGAAACGTGTGGTAGTATTATATTATATTATATATTAAAAGTAAGTTGTTTTTTTTTAAACACGTTTCAGTGACAAAGCAACTCAAAGTGCTTTACATGAAGTGCCAAAGGGCGTAAAATGAACATCATAAGACGATATGAGAGCACGAGCTCATGCACCTTTTCCTGCAGCTGGGTTAACTTGTCCTGCAGACCCTCTCTCTGCTCTGTTAGTTCAGCCACCTCTCTGCTGTGCTGCCCTTTAGCTGAAGCCAACATCTGGGAACACTTGCCCTTCCATTCCTGCTCAAGCTCTGCCTGCAGCTGAGACAGCTTCAATAAGCATGTAAAGCAACGTTAATGTTCACAAAACACTGTTGATCTTTCCATTTAGAAGATGTGATCGCCCTTGGGCTGGATGCAGAGATGTGACCTGTTCTGATGCAGCGTTGTCACTGCTGGTCCTGGCCTTGCGAAGTTGAGCTCGGAGGTTGTCGAGCTCCTGCTGGCTGCTCTTGCGGAGCTCCTCCACCTCCTCATCCCGACGCTGACGCTCCACCTGCCATTTCTTCTTTCTTTCTGAAAGTGCCTAAATGTGAGGCACACCTTTTTGTCAGACATCCCTTTTTGATTTTGTTTCCATGGTGACTGTGTATTGCTGTAATTCATTCACAAAAGAATGAAATCCGCTTACTCGTTCTAGGCTCTCCTTGTCAGTCTTCAGGTCCTGCAGCTCCTCTTCCATGGTGTTCACTTTCAGCTCCGTCTCTTTGCGTCTTTGTTTCTCTGAGCGGTACTGAGTCTGAACCCTCTCTGCCTCCTCCTTCAGCTCTGAAACACATGAACACACAGATGGTTAGTCCGGTCCATTTTTCAAAAAAATAGTCTGACATCTTCTCCTTTGCTCTTTATGTACCAGGCACTAGATGTTCTTACACAGGGTTGCCTTGATTTTCTTGTTGCTGATGTCACACATGCATATTTTTTAAAATCAAACGTTTCTGTTAAAGTAACATTCGTAGCTCAGATGTTGGAAGGGAAAATATCTGTGTGGTCGTTAGCTCTGGCCGTAAGTTTACAGGGAAAGACAAAAGATTTAAGGCATGGACAGAACTTTCCAAATCACCACAAGGACACTGAGGCTGCTCTCCATTTCAGCAAAAAGGGAAAGCGTGAGCTCCCTGCATGGTCGAGAGTAGAGAGAGCATACATTAAGGCATTCGTTGAGAATGAAGAATTCAAAGAGAATTCAAATATTCAAATCTATCCATGCATGGATAGGGGGAGAAGTCAGATACACCCTGGACAGGTCAGCCTCCTTCCACCCCCATGACATCTGTCTGTGCAGGCCACAGAGACAGCCAGATTTAACGATTAGCCTAACCCCATTAGCTGCGCGTCTTTGGACTGTAGGAGGAAGCCCGAGTACCCGGAGAGAACCCACACAAACAGGGAACATCCAAACACCCCACAGAAGGGATTCTAACCCAGTCTCTTCTTATTGTGGGGCAACAAAAGTGCTAAGCACTAAACTTCTGGTGCTAAACGTTATGAGGATACGGGACAGGCTTCCTTCTGTGTGGCTGCTGTATGTTTTGCAGTAAAACACAGTTTTGATTTCCTTTTCTAACAATCCGATTTCAGCTTCTGTGTGACCTCAACTAGTCCTGTTAACTGTCATAATAATGTGAAGGAACAGTTATGTTAAAGAAAGAAAATCTTCTGCTTTAAGTCAGACAATTTCAGATTCAGACAGATTGTTAGGAAAACGTTTGGGGAATGTTTAACAGTGGACCTAATGATGACTATGAACCAGCCAAAGTACAAGCTCGTTACACATTTAGTCAAATTTATGAGTTTGTTCGCTCTCTCGAGGCGCTCAAACCTTTGGGTGTTTTTGCTTCTTCACTTGTATGAAATGTATTCATCTGATAAAAGGATTTGTACATTCTATAAATAAAATGAGTCTTATCCTTCCATGTTATGTCTAATATGTCCAACATGTCTTGCTTCAGCATCAGCTGCTCTAAGTTTAAACAACAGGACAAAGAAGCAGTTAAACCTGCGTAAACCATCGCTGTGTTTTTCTGTTGGAGATGTTTTAGAGAGACATGAATAAAACTTTAATTCTTTAGTCCCTGTGTGTTGGTCCTGTGACAGACTGGCGACCTGTGCAGGGTGTACCCCGCCTCTCGCCCTATGCAGGCTGGGATAGGGTTCAGCGCCCCCCGCGACCCTGAAAAGGATAAGCGGAAGCGAATGGATGGATATAATATCTGCGGAGGTAGACTCTGTATTGAATGCACCTCTCTGATTGCAGCACCAAAAATTCTGATATTCATAAAAAGGCACAATTTTTATAATGTTTTTTATACTTATCGGGCACAGTGTATTTAAATCGAGCACACAAGCACCTTCCAGCTGTGCTTCCAGGGCAGCGACGCGTTGGCAGCGGCTCTCACCGTCCTGCAGCGCTGTGCTCAGTTTACCCTGCAGCTCCGCGGCCTTCTGCTGGTGAGCTGAAGCTTCGAGCTGCAGCTGAGACACCCGCGCTGCCGCTGAAGCCAGGTCCTCTGTTAGACGAACCTGGGGGAGTTGGCGAGAGGTGAGAGGGGAAGATGTACTGGTGGCACTATATCAAAATAAAAGCCACAGAGATGGTGGAACAACATAGAAACAAGCCTGGATGAGTGTCTGCTGGTGCTAGCAGTGTGTCCCTGTGGAAGGAAAATGGTGAGTGCTGATTGATGAAAAGGAAGCAGAAGGACAAAAACAGAAATAAGGTTAGTTGAGGTGCCAGTGAAGGATGATGAAAAAGGGTGATCCAGTGGCTGCAGTCAGACTGGGATCAAATAGGAGCTTCTCACAGTTCTTTGTGCTAAATTTTGTGCTTTCTGGTCTGCAATGACCTGGAAATGACTATTTAGAGTCTCGGGATTTTTTTCAGCTGCGCTCTCTTACAGCATAACAACAAAACTGCTTTAGGCAGCATTGTCTTCCTGTAATTTAAACATCGATTATAATTCTAGATGCTTTTTCTTATTTTACAGATTCTAGCTGACCCCAGTCTGATGGCACTACACAGAGGAAACAGGCTCACCTGGCCAGAGCCCAGGTCCAAAGGCAGAGGATGCTGAGAAGAGAGAGCAGTGAATAGGAGTTTTTCCTCAGAGCAGCACTGCAGCTTGAATACAATGAAAAGAGCATTTGGAAAAGAGTGGAATCAGCAGACAGCAAACCTTTCACCAAGTCCAAACTACAAACTGGCGACACACAAGTGTACAAACTATAGGAGCACAATAAGAAGGCAGGCTGGAATCACCAAATACACCACGTTATTAAACCTTACACCACACCCTTTGTACACTTAATAAGCAATTCAATTACAAAATCACAAATAAATCCAAAACAGTTTAACCAACATTTATTCTCAGGTTTTAAGAACAAAAAAAAACAAAAAAAAACATTAAATCTCAATTGTGAAGACCCGCAGCCGCCTGCCACAAAATCAGCAGACTGTAATATGCTGCATGTGACCACTAAGTCCAACACATGTCCTGTTAAGTTCTTAGTCCTTTCACTAAAAGGGAAGTCTGTCACCACAAACATCCAAAACTCAGCCAACAGCCTTATTTGATTCATTAAAGACCAAAAATACCAAACGACTCACTTTGTCCTGCTCAGCCTGCAGCAGTCTCGCCTGGTTCTGTTCACTGGACGACTTGAGGGAGTCATTCCTCTGTTCCAGCATCAGGTGACTCTGCTCCATGTACCTGAAAAATCACACGTCTGCATCAAGCACACTCAGGCTCAAAGACTCCCTCGTGCTTTCATTAGGCTATGTGGGACTGCTTGGTTACTGTTAAGATCAAATTACAACGTGACAGAGAGACAGACAATTAAACATTAGAACTAGAAGCAACCCATTCTGAACTGTTAAAAACTGCATCACACTAAAACTCGCTGGTACTGACAGAACATCCAGGCTTATGTCATTAAAAAGTCTGAATTACAGCCTGGTACAAAAAAATGTTTTAAACTGTTAATGTTTCTGCTGTTTCTATAAAGTTTCATAACAACTGCAGCATCAAGGAATTCATCTTCACGTTAGCATTTCAGCTGCTTCCACATTGTGCCTGTATTAACAAACAAGCAGCCACACACTTAACAAACAGGCTTCAAAAGTCAGAGTCTATAAATCTCTGAATTTTACTGCCAAGATCCCTGATGGCACTGTGCAAGGAATAAGAATCTGAACATCTAAAGAGACTTAAGCTTTAGGCTGCCCCGTATCTGTGCGTAATTCTTAATTCTTTCAACTCACCTCTGGTTCTGGTTGATGAGATCTCCGATCTTACGGTTTTGCTCCTCGATGCGAGAACTTTTCTCAAACACTTCTTTTTTTAAACACTCATTTTCCTGAAAGCAAAATAAGTGCTCAGAACAGCTGCAGATGGGGGGATTTAACAATGCCTCTATAAAGCACTGCGCTGCTGATGCATGTACCTGAACAATTCTTTGGATATTGTGCAAGATCATGGAGGTTTCCATCGACACAGTAGACAAACCCGTGGAAAGGCCCCCCTGCTTTTGAAGATCATCGATCTGTTAAGATTTTGAGGAAAGAAGAAAAAAAACGAAATCAAATGTTTCTGCTTTGCATTAAAGCTGCTTCATGATTTTGTACCATTTCAGAGTGTACCTTTGAAGCCAGCTGATCCACTTTATCGCCTACTTTTCCAACAGCTAAGCGAATCTCTGTGTTATGCTGTCTGGCCTCAGTCATCAAGAAGGAAGTCACATCCCCAGAGCCTTGAGAAACAACAGGAGCACACAAGGGTGTGTAATTTGAAACCATTGCATCCAGCATTATTATCATGAGGTCATCAAATGAACTAGTTGCTTCCTGGTGGTTGAATCCTACCCATGTATGGGACAGCTGGTGCAGGGTAGACCTGGCCCACAGGCTGCAGTGGAGTCTGTGTGTAGGAGCAAGGCTTTGAAATGATGTAATGCACTGACATAAACACACATTTTCCATCTCTGCCACTACTTCTTCCAACATGTATTAGAAAATATTAAGTTAGTACAAACAGTGGCGATGCTACACCTGGAACGCGTGGCTGCTGGTTGGCAGTCCAGGCTGTGCTGTCACAGTGCTCATAACAGGAAGTAAGGCGGAGGTGGGAGGAGCATGAGGATGAGGATGTACTGCAAAAAAAAAAAAACACTGCAATTTTACAGATGCAGGAAGAGAGAACTGACGGATGAGTAAGGACAAGAAGTTTACCGTGTGCAGCAGCTGCAGGAGCAGTGGTGATCGGCACTGGAGATGAAACTACGGGATGATCCTTTGCTCTGCTGCCACTGGTGTCCTGGAGATAAACGCACAGCAGTGTGAACTCACCAATGATGATGCCAGAAAACATTTTGTGCGTCATATTTTCATGTGAAAGAGATGCATTAATCTCATCAGTTTTCTTTTAGACTTAGATTAGATTTAAGGACATGGCGAGCACCACTGCAATTTAAATTTTTCCTCTTCGGCTCTGCTGTCTGGTAATGTCCACAGTTTTGAAATCAAAATGCAATGCTAGTTTCCTGTTTAACTAAAATTAATCTAAGAGCATAAGACAGTGTAATAATCCCACACACCTCTACAGCCACAGACCATATTTATCAACAAGATGACTTAAAAATCAATAAAGACAAAGTGTTAAGAGCATTCTAAATGTATGAACACACATTTTTTATTTATTTTTTATATATATATATATATATATATATATATATACTTATTATTAGTTATTCATTATTAGTCATATTAAAAAATATGGTTACAATCGCAGTTTTGTAAAATCAAACTAACCTGAAATTTAATGACTCATACACACTGTCTTCTATTGCTAAAGACAAACATAAAACACTATTTTAACCATATGTTTTAAATATCATTAATAAAAGGGAAAAAAGTAAAACATGTAAATGTTTTACAAACAGAAAAACATCCAAACATTTGTGTTTGTGCACATCCATGGAGACACACAGACACACAACAGTATGAAGTACAGTTGTGTTTGGGACAGTGTGGCTAAGTGCCAGCTGATCCACATTTCACTCAGATGCCACTTTAAATGTAACAAGAAATAACATACAATATAAAACAGTTTCATCTTTTGTGAAAACATAAGCAAGGAGCCATTTTATTCCATATACGGCGTTTGTGGGTTTTGTACAGACAAAGTTAAGCAATTAAAGCACTGGACTAATTTTCCTTTGTTTTTTTTACAGAAAATAGCCTCCTAATCTAGATCAGCTGTGAGAGCCAAGGAACAATCTCAGGGACTTCCTGACATGAAGTTTTTACCATAAATTTGTCCTGTGAAGCTTAAACACCAAGTCTTTTGAAGCAGGTACTGCAGATAACACTAATAACGCTAATACTTCTAATAACAACCCTAATAATAGTTAAAGTGCAAACGACAGTCAGGACCCATTCCATGACCTGAAAACATGAAGAAGCAACGCTCCCATCCACCAGTAAGAACCCCAGCATACTGGCAGCAAGTGTTTTCTATCTAACATTCATACGCGTATTCATGACGCATCCATTGCAGAGCACTGGGTTAGTATCTTGTCCAGCGGTGTTTGGTATGGAGACTGGAGCAGGCAGGGATTTAAACACCAACTTTCCAATTAGTGGATGACCTGCTCTACCTCGTGGACTACAGCTACAAACAGTACACTGGCCCTACAGGAGGGCGGTGGTCATTTCCAAAGATAGAAATCTTTTTAAAGAAATGCCTAAAAATACACTAAACCAGGCTTAGCTGCAGGATTCAGGTACATTTTCTGGAGAGTATTTTAAGCACCTGTGGGTTTAAAATGATCTACAGGTACAGGAATAAAGTTTATCAGGCTTTGGATACAAGGGCAGTAATATTTAGGTTACTGACAACAGGAAAATGCTAAACCAGTACACATGACAAGATACTGACCTCAAGCTCAGAGTCACTGGATTCTGGCTGGCTGGCCGCCCCTGTCAGAAACGGCAGCATGGGCTGGCCCATTTTTGCCATCCGAGAAATCAGTTTGGCTTTAGTAGCATCTGGGTTCTGAAATTGGAGAAGAATAGCAGCTCCAGTCTTCACAGCACCAAAACAAATGAATACCAAAAACACAAAATGAGGTGCTTGCTTACAGCCAGCTGCTCACTCAGAGAGTTTGACTTTGCACGAAGTGGTGGCTCCCTGGGAAGACAAATCAGCTACTGTGAGGGAAAAAAAAGTTTAGAATAATAGTGCTAACTATTTTATCAGGTTTAAATCTTACCCTGGTCTTCCTGAACCTGAAGAGGGGGCCTGTGCTGAGGGCTCTGGGACCAGATTTTCAATACTGAGGGCTGGGGAAGGAGCAGCAGAGTCTCTGGAGCCAGCACTTGCCCGATCAGAGCCACTGTCCTTTGAGAACTTGACCTAAACCACAAAACAAGCTCAATAAGCTTCTAATATTTCAGAAAGTGGTTGAACGGTAGACTATAGTTGCTAAAACAGATACAAGCAGATGAGGGAGATGTCGAGGACTGTGCAGCGGATGTTACCCGTCGAAGCTCTGCTTCAAAGATAAGAGTGCTGTTAGCCGGGACACGGTTAGGGACACCCTTAGATCCGTAAGCTAAATCGGGTGGGATGACAATGAGACGACGGCCTGCCTTCTTCATCCCCAGCATCCCTTCCTCCCAGCCCTGTGCATACAGCGAAGGAGAGGAAAGAGATGATGAGGTAATAACATAATAGCAACAGAAGAGTGATAAACGGCACAATCTCAGTGCTCACACACTAATTTAAAGCTATGCTAGAACCTTTCAAAAGGAACTGTAGCATTTTTGGATGATTAGAAATGCAGGACAGACCCAACACAAGAGCAAATATAAATAAGTGATGATTTAATAAACTGAAAATTATATTTATTTAATCGACAACATCATAAGTTAAGATGAGCCTAAAAGCAGCTGGCTAATCCACTGGTCTCATTTACGACCCCAGCATTGTAAAACAAATTAATATCAAACCTAATGTGAGAATGTAATATTGGCTTTTTTTGTCATTTAAGCAGGCAGTAGCTAAGCCGTTTCATGTATTATGTGCTTTTTATTTTTAATGAGTGAATGAACTGTAACATATCTTTAAAAATGAGGCATTCTCCAACTTTCTTGGTTGACTAACAGTCTGTGGACAGTGAAGAATGTGGGCTGTAGTCTCTCTAAGTGAGAAACAAACGGCTCTAAGCACAGTGCAGGTTACAATCTATAACATAAGAATAGAACCCTCTAGTGTTTTGTTAGCTTGTCAAATTACATCACAAGCTAGCATGAGGCATGTCAGACAATGATGATTATTCCCATCACCAAGTCTTGTACAAAAGAAAAGAAAAAAAAAAGAAAAGCACAAAGATTTCTGCAACATCAGTACTGATAGGGATGAGTTTTCTCTCTTCACTGGCTGTACTGTAATTCATTATAATCATCAGGATGTCTTAAAAACTCCCTGAAAAGTCTTCAGTAGCAAGAGTCCTGACAGGGACTAGAAAGAGAGAGCACATTTCTCCTGTATTGGCTTCCCTTCATTGGTTCCCTGTTAAATCCAAAAACCTGCTCCTCACATACAAGGTCTTAAATAATCAGGCCCCATCTTCTCTTAATGACCTTGTAGTACCATATCACCCTATTAGAGCACTTCGCTCTCGCTCTGCAGGCCTAATGGGAGGCAGAGCCTTCAGTTTTCAGGCCCCTCTTCTGTTGAACCAGCTCCCAGTTTGGCCCAGGGAGACAGAGCTCCCCTCTACGTGTAAGATTAGTCTTAAAATTGTCCTTTTTCATAAAGCCTAAAAAAAGGATATAGTTAAGGCTGGATCAGGTGATTCTGAATCCCCCTCTACTTATGCTGCAATAGGCTTAGCTGCTGGGGGCTTACCATGATGCTCTATTTCACTCACCATCATAATCATTATTCATTATTAATATCTGACTCCCTTCCACAGTGTGTATTGTATGCCGTCTTCCTCCCATCAACCCAACTGGTCATGGCAGATGACCGCCCTCCCCAAGCCTCATTGCACCAGAGGTTTCTTCCTCTTTTAAGGCAGTTTCTCTTTACCACTGTCGCCAAGTGCTTGCTCAAAGGAGGTTTGATTGTTGAGGTTTTGTCTGTATTATTGCAGGGTCTTTACCTTATAATTTAAAGAGACTTGAGGTGACAGTTTTTGTCATTTGGTGCTATACAAATAAAACTGAATTTTAAATACTGAATGTAGAACTAAATCTTTTCCAAGAACAGTCAAGATGGGAAGATTAGGCAGCTCTCTGCAATATGGAGAGCATAATGTTTCGAGCTTAGTCCTTTTACAACAAGCTACTTAGTCATGGTAACAGGAACTCTGATCATCATACCTAAAATATATGCTAGTTGATGTACATACCGTACATATAATATTACAACATCGTAGTGAAGGACAGTCTGGTCACACAGTGTGTTAACATGAACGACACACAAACTTCAGTTCACTTAAATCCTGTGTGCATCAGTGAGTTTATCAAGTTGCACAGAGCTCCATAAAAATGTAGCTGGAATTACAGTGTTTAGCTATGACAGCTACATTATTCATTCACGTTTTACTTGATTCAATGAATCCACACAGAAAGCAATTAGCTCAGCATGCATTATCTTGCTGCTGAAGGTTGGTTGCTAACACACATTCAATGCTCAGGCTGCCTAGATAATCCTCCGATGTATTTAGCACCCTGCCATGCCAATCAGCAACCACCTCATTTAGTTTCACTCGAACCACCAACTTCATATCGCCCGCACTTATTTCACCCATTCTTTTTATGGTGTTGGGTTGCCACATCACTGCATGTCACTTCCTGTGTGGACAGCCCTTTGAGCTACTATTCACAGTCACTGCAGTATACTTTCACTCACTCTGATCACTTTCCCAGCTCCAATCTTCAGTCGCAGCAACTTGTCTTTGTTTTGGTTGGAGTCAAACATCTGTAGCAATACAAATAAGATTCAAAGACTTGTTCGTCATCATAACCAGAAAATCCACAAGAGAAAAAACAAAAAACACTGATACTTGTTAAAATGAATGATGTGAGTGTTTGACCTGTCCACAAGTGTGGTTCTCCAAAAGCCAGCCCGTGTACACCACCTCCACAGAGTCTCCATTCTCCACTGACTGGCCCTCACCAAGACTGAGGTCCTGGAGTACCACTACATCTACAGTCGCAGCGCTGTTCACTTTTGCTAAACATACCTGATGATAAAAGATAAGATAACCTTTATTAGTCCCACACATGAGAAATTTGTGAAGACTTCTTCATCATGCTTGTACATAATGTAGACTACACACATCGTTTTTTGACGATCGCCTGATACTTTTGGACTTTGTGCTGTCAATAAACAAAGTCTGTTTGTTTTGTGTTGGCCCAACTGTAATCACAGTATTTATTATTTGAGGCTCACCTCTTTGCAGAAGTCTGAAGCTGATTTCTCTGACTCAAACATAAGGGACCAGTTCTGCCTCTGGTCATCATAAAAAGTGCAATAATTGTTTTGCTGTACCTGCAGAGGAAGAAGAGCATGTAGCCATGAAAACAGTCAGTGGGGGAAACAGCTATTCTTTACAGCTGCTACAAGCTTTTCAAAAGAAAAACTATCTAAAGAACAGGGTTTAAACAGGTATCGCAATGATTATCGGAAATATATAACTAACATTTTCAGATGGTGCATCTACTTTTGTATCCTTCATGACTATACTCACCGTGAAAGCAAAGCCCACGTGAATCTTGGCAGAGGTTACTTGTTTCTGTTGGCTTAAATACAGAAGCAGCTTGTACTGAAGAAAAGAAGAGCTGAGCTCATTATTAAAAACCAAACAAAAGTCAAACCAGGAGCATAAAGTAAGAGACTAAATAACAAAGCTCCAACCTCTTTTGTTGTATGGTTGCCCAGCACAGCAGCTCCCAGCTTTCCCTGCTTCATGTACTGTCCATTAATACTACATGAGACAACACAGCTGTTCAGTGAACAGAGAGAGAACTTTGGGGGAGTAAAGAGTTTAATTTGTGTAAAGAAAAGGGGGATAATGCTCCAAACAGATGTAAAAAACAAATAAACATGAAAACTGACATTTAGAATATAGCACCTGACATATTTAGATGAGTGCTTAAAAATGGTTTTCAAACTCACTATCTGAAGGCTTGGACTGCTGTTGCAAATAATACTGCTGGAGCTCCAGGTTGTAGAGCTGGCTTCTGATTGGATGGAGCTGCAATAATATTAAAGAAATGATCAGTGGTGGCTCTGCACGACAACTGGATGTAAATTCAGCAATGCTGCAGTTCTGAGACTGTTACCTTGGTTGGAGCTCTTTCTAGGCTGTTTGGGGGCTGTGTACTGGAATGACTCGTTCCCCTGACTGGTTTCCTGGTCTAATCCAAACAGGGAAGCCAGCTTGGCCCTAAAAAACACAAAAGATTATGTACATGTGGTTGTATTTGCATTGCTATATGGTGCTTTAAAAAAAAAAAAAAAAAAAACATGCTGGACATCTATACTGATACTGGGTAATGTGTTGGGAATGAAAGTATGCAAAATAATGTCATGGAAATTAAAATGATTAAATAAAAATTATTATATTGTATGCATGTCTGAAACATCAAACCATGATCCCAAATAGATGACAGATGGTTTCCTGGGGATCTCCCCTCAAACAGAATCTTGACCAGCTGAAGTGACACCAACACGGCAGCATGGCAGAATGCACCAGTAGATGTGACATTGTTCCGGGGAAGGGCCTCTGTGCCACAGGGGCTGAGCAGTGAGCCGAACTCTTCAGCCCAACTGTTTACCACACATTGGTAGAAGGTTATTGCTATGGTGGTAATACTGTATACGTTTATACGTCTGATAGGCATGCTTGACTAAAATCTGTTCCCTTATGTCATTGCATTTTACTGTATTAAGTAATTAAAAATAGCTACAAAAGAAATAACAATGCTTGCTTGTTTTTATTATTATTTTTATTATTATTTTTAGTAGTAGTATTAGTATTAGTAGTAGTAGTAGTAGTAGTACTACAACAGCCAGAGACATACCAATTATAGCTAGTAACACTGACTACTGAGCTAACCAAAAACAGCCTGGGTTTCTATTTCTTACTAGGGTTGGGGGGGGGGATCGATTCTGTAGTATCGTGATATTTTGTTTGCTAATAATGTATCGATACAGGGACAGCAGAAATCGATATTTTGTTACAAAAAAGGGTTTTTGTGCTCTGACTTCAGAGCATGTTGATCCTTTTTCTGAGCAAGAATCCTGACATTCCTTCACTGTCCAAATGTGTTTAACTTTATTTTGGCAGCAATAAACATGACAGTTTACTTATTTTAATTTAAGACACGTTTTATTTTAATTAAGTTTAAAACTTTTTTATTTAATGTAAAATTATATTTTGTTTTAATTTACTTTTAAATTCTTCAGTTGCTGAAGGGGCTGCATAGTTCCCATAAATTGCATAGTTCAGAATAGCTGTAATTGTACCAGATGGTTGCATTCAGTTAAGTTGGACTAGACTGTAATACAAACCGTTCAGTTTGTCAACAATAAAACTGAACTGAGAGAAAGACTGAGTGCGAGACTTTGATATTAGATAAAATGAATATTGATAAAGTTTACCTTTATGTACAGAATCTGAATATCGCAAAATATTTTTAAAAAATTGCAATAATATCGTATTGTGCGTTAAGTATTGTGATAATATCGTATCGTGGGATGTATGGTGATTCCCACCTCTATTTCTTATACAGGTAGACTACAAAGACAGTTGTCAGGCACAGGCTACATCCACACTAGCCCGGATAGATTTGAAAACGGCGTTTTCGTCTGAAAGCGAAAGCGAGTGAGAATTAAAGAATTTGAAGAAAAGCTATCTGCAGCATGTACAAACTGATATTAATCTTTAATAGGACTGTCAAAATTGAGAGCAAACAAAACAACTGCCGTATAATGCCTTCTATCTTAGTTTAATTGGTCACATGACTGCATCACATGACTAAAATGTAATTGTTTTCAAAAAGTCTTTTCGCTGTCCACACCGCGACGTGAAAGCACTGTTTTTAAATGTATGCATTTTCGAGAGTGTTTTCAAAACGCTGCATTTTCCTTCAGGGAAAACAACGTCTCAGTGTCAAGGGAGGCCAAAACGGAGCGAAAACGAGGTGTGGACATAGCCACAGTGTCATGGTGCTGCCCCCACCACCCACCCCTCTTTACTGAAATCCCACCTACTCTTATGTGTGATGGCAAGTCTTCAAGAGACAAAGACCAGGAAGGAACCAGGTCCAGACAGTGTGTCACCCTCCTGCCTCAAAGTATGCTCTGACCAGCTGGTTCCCATCTTCACACTGATCTTCAACAGATCCCTGAAACTGTGTGAAGTCCCCTCCCATTTCAAGCACTCCACAATCATCTTGGTCACTGGGTTAAATGACTACAGACCTGTCACCCTGATATCCTTTGAAAGACTGATGCTGGCCTGCTGGTGCTGGTTGTGAATCTTAGCTTGGCAATTCACCAGGCCTCGAGTATGGACAGCTTGTTGTACTTCTTAGGCACCAGTTTCTTCATCACACCTTCCTGCAGTTCTGACAGATGGCTAACTTCCCTCCATGCTGCCTTTATGGGCATTATTCAGACATATGCAGCAGCACAGCGCTCCCAACTACTGTACACCTTTTTTGTGTTTTTGTCCTCTAATGCAGCGGTCCCCAACACCCGGGCCGCGGACCGGTACTGGTCCGTGAGTCGTTTGGTGCCGGGCCGCAAGAGTTGAGGCTCGGGTGTGAAATGTATGGTTTTCAGGGTTTTTATCGTTAAGTCGGTTTCCCTGGGTCTTTTTCCGTGTTGTAGTCGTATGTCTTATTTTGAAAGAACTATTTACGCATTGCCATAGCGATCAGAGAGCATCAAGAAGCAGAGAGGAGGATCTCCAAAGGTTGATTCTGTTCGTCTGGACGTAGCGTTTTGTGGGAGAAACGTTTCGTCACTCATCCAAGTGACTTCTTCAGTCTCAGCTGACTGCAGGTTTCCCCAAACGCTACGTCCAGAGGAACAGAATCAACCTTTGGAGATTTACTCACTGAGCATGCATCAAGACAGAGAGGATGTTACTCTCAATGTTGTTGGCGCATTTCAGGAGGTGGCTGCTAATAAAGTTACACAATTACACAGTGAATTCGGTTTATTATTATATTTGCAAAATACCACAGTTTGTCTTTGTCTGTATCATTTTATTTTGTTGTATTTGTCCGCGACACCTTAAAGGCTGGTCCGTGAAAATATTGTCTGATATTAAACTGGTCCGTGGTGCAAAAGGTTGGAGACCGCCGCTCTAATGTGTGCCTTTCTCTTGTTTTGTATACATGTCTCATATTTGTTATTTATTCCTGCTGTCTTTATATTTTATGACCCAACTTCCTCACTCCCCCTTGCCATAGCATTTGTGTAGAGATTAAGGAGTCAGCTGAACAAGAAAAACACGATTCAGGGAGTTGCCACATATGTCCTGTCAGTCATCAGATACTTTACTGGGATAATAAGACAGTCAAAGGAGGAGACTGGTCCCACTGACATCAGGGCAAGAAAGTTCCCTAGCATGCATGGAAGGTTTCACCACAAAAGTCCAGCACTCTGACACTTTACGCTAAGTTGAAGGAAAGAAGCTTGGGACTAGTGAGTGCCAGAACCACTGTTCAGGATGAAACAAAGATCCGCCAGTATGTCGGAAAGATGACACAACTCAGTGGTTCCCAAACTTTTTTTGCTGGGCCCCCTTTGTTTTACAAGAAAAATGTTCGCGCGCACACATCCTCCAACCACACACACACCCATATTTTGCTCCATTGCGGTTTATTTCAAACATTTAGTAAATAATTAAGCAAATACAAGTAATCTGCAATAAATTACAGGTAGTAAGAAAATAAACGACTAACTCTTTTACGCTACGTCCGCACCTACACGAGTATTTTTGAACACGCAGCTGTTTCGTCCACATGGAAACGGCGTTTCGAATCACTGAAAACTGAGATTTTTAAAACTCCTTTTTTGAGTTTAGTGTGGACGAGGAATACAGAGTTCGTCACACAACATCAAAGGTATGTTCCTTTTTCCACGTCACGCTGTACGCCACGTTATTGTTTACATGAGATGAACTGCAGAATGGCAGACACAAAATACTGTTAATCTGACTGACTGCAGGTTTTACACACAGTTACTGTCCCTCCATTTACAAAGGCAGAGGCATCACAGTGTGATTATTTTACGTGTAGTTGTTTTTTTCCCCGTGTAATAATATTCAACATTGCTTTTTCAAAAAATGCCTCTCTGTGCAAAATGGGTTTAAAAACATAAACAGCTGTGGGATACTGTTTGTCCATGATTTGAACCGGGGAACAAATTGTGGCAGGATCAGCCTGATGTTATTTGTATCCCGCTGTAACTTTACTGTATAAAGTATAGTATAGTATGTACAGTGGGGTAAAAAAGTATTTAGTCAGCCACCGATTGTGCAAGTTCCCCCACTTAAAATGATGACAGAGGTCAGTAATTTGCACCAGAGGTACACTTCAACTGTGAGAGACAGAATGTGGAAAAAAAAAAAATCCATGAATTCACATGGTAGGATTTGTAAAGAATTTATTTGTAAATCAGGGTGGAAAATAAGTATTTGGTCACCTCAAACATGGAAAATCTCTGGCTCTCACAGACCTGTAACGTCTTCTGTAAGAAGCTTTTCTGTCCCCCACTCGTTACCTGTATGAATGGCACCTGTTTGAACTCATCATCTGTATGAAAGACACCTGTCCACAGCCTCAAACAGTCAGACTCCAAACTCCGCCATGGCCAAGACCAAAGAGCTTTCGAAGGACACCAGGAAAAGTATTGTAGACCTGCACCAGACTGGGAAGAGTGAATCTACAATAGGCAAGCAGCTTGGTGTGAAAAAATCAACTGTGGGAGCAATCATCAGAAAATGGAAGACATACAAGACCACTGATAATCTCCCTCGATCTGGGGCTCCACGCAAGATCTCATCCCGTGGGGTCAAAATGATCATGAGAATGGTGAGCAAAGATCCCAGAACCACACGGGGGGACCTGGTGAATGACCTGCAGAGAGCTGGGACCAAAGTAACAAAGGTCACCATCAGTAACACACTACAACGGCAGGGAATCAAATCCCGCAGTGCCAGACGTGTTCCGCTGCTGAAGCCAGTGCATGTCCAGGCCCGTCTGAAGTTTGCCAGAGAGCACATGGATGATACAGCAGAGGATTGGGAGAATGTCATGTGGTCAGATGACACCAAAGTAGAACTTTTTGGTATAAACTCAACTCGTCGTGTTTGGAGGAAGAAGAATACTGAGTTGCATCCCAAGAACACCATACCTACTGTGAAGCATG